TGAGAGAGAGAGAGAGAGAGAGAGAGAGAGAGAGAGCGTGCGTGCGTGTTTGTGTATGTGTGTGTGTTAGTGCGTGTACATGCGCGTGCGTGCGTGTGTGTTTGTGTTTGTTTGTGTGTGTGTTTGTGTTTATGTGTGTATGTGTGTGTGTGTGTGTATGCGTGTGTGTGTGTGATTTCAACATCAAGAATAAAGAGAGAATGCGAACGCCAAACAACACACTTCTCTAGGGGAGATAACACTGTCCATGGACATGTTTCGACTTTTCTTGCAGTTGTCGCTCTTTGCATGAGTTGTCTTTATATTCGGGGGGAGGGGGGGTGTAATAAAAATATAATACACTGTATGAACATGAACCTGTGAAACCCATGTAATTTTGGGTAGATTGTCTTTTTGTGTGCGCTCGTGTGGTGCACTCTTTCATGTGTGTAATCTACTTCTTTTCAAATCGGATTTGAAGAGTTGTAGATATCTATAACAATAACCTGAAGTTCACCAAAACTCAAAGCTTTTTTTTTTTTAACCTTTACTTCGCAACATACATACATACGCATATTTGTACGGGTCAGTGTGAAACTAGATCTAGTTCATGCCATGAGTATAAGACTACAGTTTTATTTTTGTTTTCGAACTGTTCTTCAGAGGCGAATGTGGGTGGTTTGCGGGTGCTCTGGGGTGGTTTGCTTATTCTTTCCTATTAAACATCTATATCTTCATTATCTCTCCTCCTTCTTTTTTTTGTGTATGTTACTCTCTTGTAACACCTCTATTCTTCAGCACTTATATAACCTATTGTGATGCAAGTGCCGTAAAACCTTTAATAAAACTAAAGAGGCGAATGAAAACTTGAAAACTATACACTGTTAATATTTCTTTATTGTGATTTAGAAAGATAGGCCTACTCTTTTTTAAAAGACTACGCATGCATTTCGTTGGGTATGCTACATTTTCTGCTCTAAAGCTCGTGTCTCGTCCTCTTTTCCTTGACAAAAAAAAAAAGTCTCTGAGTCTGCTATAGCTGCCTATCTAGCCCGATATAGGCTAGGCCTCTACATGAGGCAGTCAAGAAACAGTGTGGGGGTTTTTTGCATTGTAATGGTGAGACTTAAGTTCGAGTTCCTTTATCCGACCAGCCTCGAGAATTTGCGCACCGTGTGCCTTATTGTGTCTGCTTGTACAATTAATATGTGTCTCAAATAAGTTCTCAGTTTTTCGTGTAGGCGTAATAGGCCTATGCACACCTCAAACGCAAACGACTCAACATTTTCTGAAGGCCTATTTCATTTTAAAATCACCCCACCCCCACCCCCCTTATTCATTCCTTTATCTAACTTGAAGCTGTACGCTAAATTGTGTAAAGTTATCTCCTAGTATTGTAAATCTATGAACGTGCCGGGGACAGTTGGCTTTGTCAATGAGAATACACAGAGGTGTGAATCTATAAATAGAACTCAATGGGGAGAGTCGTCGTTTAGGCTATTCGTCTTGGGGAGAATCAATCTCTAGACTACCGGCCGGTCAGATGGCCATTACAGCTGAGCTTCAGAGCATGCCACATTGGCTACAGAGTTCGGTATGGTTCACTTGCTTCTGTGCGTTCGGGATCGGGAAGTTTGGGGGGTGGGGTGGTGGTGATTGAGAGGGGTGTATTTTCTGTTGTCTTCTGTACATTCAGCTACCCTCCCTCATTACTTTGATTATTTTGACATAGGTATTACATATGTTTTGATTTCATGAGTTCACAGCCCTTTTGATGAACACAGAGTGGTGTGGTGTGGGTGTGTGTGTGTGTGTGTGTGTGTGAGAGAGAGAGAGAGAGAGAGAGAGAGAGAGAGAGAGAG